GCAAGTGATCCTTCTAAGCTTAGGTATGACTTAGAACTATCAAGCTTGATGAATAACTCGGTAGTGTAACGAAGCTAACTACTCAAAATCCTTAACATGCACCATTTCTTAATCCTAAGTGTGGTTACATGTTTTAACTTTGATGTTTTTGTTAAGTTTTTCCACAATTGATCTGGAATCGTATGCCTCACTACTTGGTTACTTGTTGGAATTCCTTCAGCCAACCACCAACTTATGGTCCCCAGGGGTCAAGCTCATCCGAGTTTCTTGCATTTTCTGAATCTATAAAATCCAAATGGTCTTCTGCTTCTGCGAGGTAGGGGAACTCCAACTTTTTCATTTCCTTGAAAGCTTTTTTTATTCCCCTCTAAGGTTATTGTTTCTGTTTCAACAGGTATAAGGACTCAATCTCAAAAGGTACTCGTGGTTTTAAGGAAAAATTATTAGCACGCAACACCACTGTCAAGGAATTTGGCAGAGAAGTTCAGCGTGAGATGAGTGCTGGAATAGCTGGCGTTTCAAGAATGATTGAACGACTTGATCTTACTTCAAAACGTACTGGAGCTGCTGAGCCATCTGCATGTAGCATGGGTACCTCAAACTTTCCCGGTAGAGGAGTGAGTGAGCAAGGAAATGTGACATTTCAAGCGCATGATGGTTGCGGGAAGAATACTACAATTGGAGTAACTCCTACTAATCCCTCATTGATCTCCAACACCAACACCAACACAAACACCAGCACTGGCCAAATGGAAATTTCTCTTGGACAGGTTTGTACTTCGTCCAGCGATATTTTGAGTAGTTGTGAAGCTTTACTTGTTTCCGTGTTCATCATCCCTGATGTTGCCAGTATGCTCTTCTATTTTATTATACATAGCTTCTGCTGGATGTTTTTATTGCCTTTAAACAGAAAACTAAACTTAGAAGCCTAATCTGCTTGTATTTTTTCCAATTGGATGTAGAATTAGTATACAACTGCAGCATTGGAACTTCAACTCCGAAACTAAAATGACAATTTCCTAAACAGAATACTTCACATACTCTGAGAAAAAAGAGAGTTTGGGAGAAAACTCAGCTTGATTATTCTCTCAAACATTTTTTGTTTAAATAGCCAAGTGTACATATTTTTTAAGGAAAGGAAGAGAATCAATATATCTACCTAGGGTCCTATCTCTTGTCTGGAAATGTTAAAAGAGATGTTGCTTCAATTGAATTATACGAGCTTCATCATTGCCCACGATGACTATATCTTTTACCCCCACCCCCACCTCCACCCCGTCAGGAGTATCAATAGAGTTCCCACTTACCCTCCACCGTGACTCGAAACCTCAACCTACCGATTGATGGTGGAGGTGCTCAACCACTAGAGCAAGCCTCCCTTGTCTGTGATGGCTATATCATCAACATAAATGACCAATTGAATTCAATATGATTAACCTCACTGAGAGTCGTACCAAAGTCCTGAATGATCATGTTGGAACTTACCAATTCATGTTTGAGTAGATTGTTTCAAACCATATAGGGATTGATGCAACTGACATACAATACCACAACCACTATACTCTCCTTGAGTAACAAATTTAGGAGGTTGCTCCATATATACATCATCCTCAAGATGACCTGGAGAAAACATTTGTGATGTCCAACTGATATAGAGGTGACAAAGAGATCAATGAAGAACAATAACTATGGAGAGTAAAAGATGACCACATGCTAAGCTAACGGGGAGAAAGTGTCACTTCAATCACGCCCGAATCTCTAAGTACCTTTGGTAACAAGATGAGCTTTAAGTTGATCAATTCGACCATCTGGTTCAACTTGGAGGTAGAGGAACAAGCTCCCGAATACATGTAAAAAGACATCTCTTTGATCATCTCATATCACCATCCAAAATGGGATAACACTTCACTTGTGGACTTAGGGATAGGGATGGGATTAGGGTTATGAGTGGATCGAATATCTTCCAGAGTGCAATTGGTGGACTAGGAGGAGACAAGTCCGCAGTATGCGAAGGATCCAGTACAAGACGTGAATCATCTAATCATCTAGATACGATGCTGGATAATGACGGCGATTATAAGTCAAGAGTGGTGGAAATGGAGCTGTAGGTGATGGAAGTAGAGCTGTAGGTAGTGGAGTCGGATCTGTAGGTGATGAAACTGGATTTGTAAAGCAAGATGAAGGAGAAGTGACTGATCTCCAAAAGATGAAACTGGCAACACCTTCGTAATATCTAATATGATCTGGATCTGTGAAGTATGGATGGGTTTGAAAGAAGGCCCAGCAGAGATAAGGAACCACTAGAGGTTAGGTGAATATCTTTGGTACCCCTTTGTGCCCTCGAGTAACCTTGTAATGCACATTTAAGAGCACGAGAAGCTAAATTATCCTTTTTCTGAAATAAGGTTATGGCCAAAACACATGCTCCTGAAGACAAGAGGTAGAAGAGACCCGGTAGCTTTGGCTTGGACATTGTATATATGCGTAGAAATCTACAAAAGAAGTACAAATGATTGATTTTAAATCAAGTGTAAATCATATGGGTTGTTTTAGACACCTGAACAACTCAAGCCTAGAATGTTCAAATCCTGAATTCACCTCTAAATTTTGGAAAATGATTACAAGTGAAACAGGAATATGTGACACAGTAGTGCTTTGACAGGATTATAGGTGTTTGCGTTTCCTATGTTTGTTCCTTTCTGTTCTCCCACCAGAAATACTACAACTTTTTATTTATTTTCCATAGTGCGATGTGTTATAAAGAGCTTTTCCATGACTTCTTTTATTCCATCTATCGCTATGTACTTAATAGCGAAAACGATGACGGGTCTTTTTTGATTGCCTGATCAGCTCATCCTAAAGCCACTAGAAAAAAACATTTATTTTACTTGAAATGTGTCTTCTCCGAGTCTCTTCACGTGCATGCTTATTCTATTTCATGATCATGTATGTGTAAATATTTTTTGACAAAGAGAAATGCAGTAAGACTTGAACCTAGCCTCCTTTTACTTTGATAACCAAAAAGAATTTTGACTTATCCATCTTGATAGTTCTCTTTGTTTTTGAAACGAGCTGTTTCCACTGTTTAACCGTTTCTTTTCCTCTTTTTCCCCTTCAGAATGGAAACTGATGCTGCAACCCCATCGAAGTCAGAATAAATGATGCTTGATTATGGTCCTCTTTGTCTCTACTATTAACTTATAGCGTAATTTATGATCTGCAAGTGATGTACGCTTGAAAGGTCAGTTATTGCAGTAGGTGACTGACTTGCGTCCTGCAGTTGTGGAAACCTGGAGATTTGATGTGCTGTTGGAGAAATTACAGTTTGTGCTTAAGCATTAAGGTCTCATGACCTGTTCTCTTAACTGTAAACCTGTAGGATAGGAAGATTGTGGTGCTGATAAGCCTGTGTAATTAACCATGTCCATTAGCTTAATGGATATTCAAGAAGGGATGTCTTATGGACTATCCGTTATTCTTCTTTATGGTGGTTATATTTCTTCTTGATTATGCGTTTGTCCAGTTTATCTGATTTTATCTTAAGAAGGGACACGTCTTATGGACTATCTGTTCTTATTGATTTGCTTGAAAAAAGTGATGCTTTATTGTCATCACTTTGTTGTCGTGCACCTAACCTTAGGTGTTGTCATTTATGTGCCATGTGGAGGGGAATAGCTAATTTTTGTACTTTGCATACTTAGTTTGCATCTGCAAGCAATTTCTTGAAGACTACTTTGGTGCTTCTTCCATGAAATACCATCTGACCTTTTCTTGATAGTCACTGTAGATAAGGGTGTCAACCATTAGCTAACTTTTCACCTGCAGCAACAGAATCATTATGAGAACAATCAAGTCTAGTGTAGGTGAACAATATCAAGATTCTTCTTGCCTGGTAAAATACTGTTCGGATAGAGAACTTGTCAAGTGAAGTAGGAAGAGTCGTGGGATGCCAGTCCAGGAGCAACACCATTTAACACAAATTCCTTTAGCAACTTGTTGAAAAAATAGTCCTCCAGTGTATGAAACGTTGGTGCCCTTAGTAGTAGTAGGTTAAGTCTAAATTGTGGACTTCCTTCTCATGTCCCTCGTTTCTGTGGGAAAAACATTTCTTATAGCATATTCTTTCATCTTTTAGTAGCTCTTAATAATATTACGCTTTACTAGCATTTTCTTTGATGAGCCTTGATTAGGTATTAGTACCGTTGAATTCTTTTCTTTATTACTATAACCTGTCCATTGAGGATGGAACAACTGAAACAAATCTTCATCTTTTCTTGGTCAGTTTTTGTACTCCTCGTTTGTATTAGAAGAGCTTGTTGAATCTGGTGGAAAACATCCACACCATGTAAAATATCCTCACAGCCTTATGAGAATTCGTGATCAAGTATTTTTCGTAAGATTTTAAACGATTTCTGTCTCTTTCATCTCTTTCCACTACTCTCTTGTTTCCCATCTACCTCTCTTTTCCTTTCATCTTACTATCTGTTAGCTCATTCGTTATAGTTTATCATTGATATATATTCTTCTCTTCAGCCCAAGCTTACTTTGCGCCAATTTTCATTCATTTTTCTTTTGTGGACAAGTCAAAGATAAGCATTGGTAATAAAACCTCCTCTTATGTGCCACCAAAATAAATTTTTGGTATCTATTTTTATAACATGGTAAAATAAATTGTGAATCAAGTAATTTTTTACGTCACCTTTGTTTTTATCGGCCAGTAATATAAATTATTCCTTTATAAATATTTGTAGTTAGTAATTTAAGTTTCTAAAAAATATGTTAATCTTTCTTTTCAAAAATAATTCAATTGATATCTTAGTCTGACACACACAAAAAAAAATAAATTAGTTTGATATTCAAAAAAATGAAAAGAAAATGGGGTAATTTTTTGTAAGAAACTCCCTCCTCTCTTCCATTCTTTTGAAGAAAAAAAAATGGAAGACACTTTGAATATAGTTGGAGCTTGAAACAACATGGTAGATATTTTCATGGATTAACAATTTACCAAACGTGGATAGTGTATATATAGCTCAGGTTAATTTGTTAGCCGAATATATAATTTATATTTATTAACTGAAATTACTAGGGACGACAATGGTTCGACTCGATTGATTTTTTAACAACATTGCGACACACCCATACATTAAAGTATGCAAAACTTATTGGAGAATGAAGAAATAGGGCAAATCTAGATTTGTCCCAGGATAACATCTCCGCCAGAAACCTTGAAGTCAGAAGGTGCTTCTTCAACATTCAGAACCTTAACATTTCCATCAACTACATATGCCGACCACCTATGCAACAACAATGATAAATAACGGATTAATAGAAGATAGACAGGTTGTTTCCGATATAGCCTGAGCTCAAAAGGCCAAGTTATTCGGAAAAGGAATGCAAGAAAGTTCAACAAGACTTGATTAAAACGAGTTAAACATCTGCACATTTCTCTGGGATTATCAATTTTGGAATTGGCAATTGTTGGAAGTAGAATCTTTAGTTATTGCAGGACAAAGTAATGAATGACATAAAACACGGACTCTGATCCCTTACCTATGAGATCGAAGTCCAAGCAAAGCAGCCGAGAGATCAATTGTTAAGTCTAAACTCTTGTGGAAGCTTCCATCAAAATCACCATAAAACTCAATCTGCATCGCAAAATAGAGACTCATCCTCGTTATTAGAGAAAGTATAAAGAGCAATTATCACAAAACAGCTTATAAAATGAAATTTTCTGATGCTATCAAACTTATACCCATGAGAAACAATTCAATATATGTATATGTATGGCATTTGAGATGTAAAGGTCATAAAACAAGGTGAGATGAACAACGCCGAATGGCTAATAACAGGATCACGAGAATCTTAATCATAGATCTCTCTCTTGGTTATCTGTATCAACTATCCTACCTGTACCAGCGTTAGCCATAAAGCATATGACAATCTACAAAGTTTGTGTTTTGATGCTTCATACAGTTCATGAATTATGTCATCCTCAATATGCTACAAAATAAATTCCAGTTAGAGATCAACTTCAGCCCACCTGTATAGATTTCCAGCTCATAGAGGAAGAAAGTTGAATTTTAACAGAAAAATATCAGAATATGGTCAGAGACAAACTTTGAGCTTGATTTGGAATGTATTAGCATATGGTGAATGGTCAGTGTCAATATCTTTGAACACGTAGAGGAATGTAAGTGTAATAGTTCGTTCCTTTAGCTGTGGCTTAAGTGTTCTAATCAATCAGATAACTTCTTCTTTTTTAAAAGTAGATCTGCTCCTCCATCTTTGACCCTACAAGGCCAAACCCACCCCTCATAACCGAGAAATCCCAGAGGACTGGTTTTAGCACATAGTTTGGAAGTGATTGAATATTTGGACTACCCTCTACCCCTCACTACTTGAAAACACCTAGCTTTTAATCTACATCAGAAATCAAACTCAAAATATGAGCTTTTAGCCCACACGCCACTCTATGCATTCTTAACACTAAAAAGAGCACACAAACAAACATTTTGCCAGTCCAAGTCTGGTCAAAAAGGATAGATTAAGTACTTGAAGTCTTCAAGGATGGTAGAAAGTTCAAATTAGTAATTAGTGAAGGTCGCACTTGCTTAAAGAAATACAGGATGACGAGGCAGGGCAGAGCGACTTACAGCATCTTTGGCTTGTAATTTTTCTGCCCAACCGTTCATAGTGTATGGATCATTCACAGCAACACAGATCACTGAGTCGATTCCTTTGGCCTTGAACTTATCAATGTTATTCTTGTAGCTAGGTACATGTTGCATTGAACACACTCCAGTGTAAGCACCCTGAAAATTGTACAAGTAACATCTTTAGAAGATATAAACCTAAGAAAACAAAGAGAACCAGATATTAAACAAATGGTTGGATATAAAATGGCTATGCAATAACGCAGCCTCCTATGAGGCAAATTTCCTACCACAACCATCAAAGAAAAAATGAAGCCTTTCTTTCTTTCATCATTTCTAAGCGTCATTTTATTCATTTAAAAGCGTCAGTTTATTCAACCTTCTATAAAAAACTAGGGAACACCCTTTTCTATTATAATTCAATTGATGAATCATGGTAGTCCATTTAGTTGGCTACGGCTACCTGAACTTTCACATTGCTACTGAAGGTTCAATTCCTCATTTCCCCTTCTGCTTCCCCTCCTTCTATGTATAAAATAAAAGAAAAAAATAGAAAGAATGGTATTAAATATTTAAATGTGTCCCGTTGTATCTTTCCTCCAGAAGCAAATATGTGCAACCAACCAAGTGGCAATGTTAATTCAGTAGCATGTAACAAGATTAAAGTATTCTGAAAATTTGGATTCGTAATAACAATATTCATTTGTACTCCCAGGAAGATAAAATATTAGACAAATAAAGCTGCTCACTGCAGTTAAGTCATCAGATACCACCTTGATTTAGTATTTTCTATTGAAAGTACAAAAGACCAATTTATTATTTGTACTAAAAGTAAAACGAAGAAGAGAAAAAGTTACCACTTTGATTTCTTCTCTATTTTTATGACTAGGTGTCTGAACCAGCTTTCGCGCACCTCGACTAATTCCACTTTGATTTCTTATTAGACTTAAATGAAGCTACATGGTCCGTGAGGATTCATATATATAGTGGACACCCCAACTTGGTTGGTATTGGCGCATTGTAGTTGTTATTGTTGTTGTTGATGTCTTATTAGGACTTTTTGCCTTTAAAATCCCAATGAAAAGGACAAACTTTTTCCCCTGCCCCAAACACAAAACATCATAAACAAAAAATAAATGATAAAAAGACCATGAATGAAGCACAAGTTGACAACTTGGAGGCCCTCAACAAAATCTACAATGGTCAAACGACAACAAGATAAACAATCCCAGAACTAATTTGGCATAACCTCTGAGGTTTCACTCTAAGACAGATCCAAAACATAACACTTATGTGTGGGCTCTTACACTTAGTGATTCATCTTGCTACTTTCCTTTACGTCCTACTTTGGGTGCAATTTTGAGCTGGGGGTGTACAGGAAACAACCAACCTACCCCACACCAGAGGTTAAGTAAGATAAGGTCTGCGTACGTCATATCTCTCTAGACCCCCACTAGTGTAATTACACTAAGTATGTTGTTGTTGACAAACAAATTCTCATAATTTGACAACCCCACTCTCTTTATTCCAACTAAAAGAGAACCAACCAAAAATATTCATCTAAAACCTACTCCTAACCACAGAAATGAAAACTAACACACAATACAACTAACTAAAAAATCAGTGGCAATAAATATAAAAGAAAGTCAACTTACAGGAAGTCCAAAGATTACAACATTTTTGCCCTGAACACCAAACAAAATACAACAAACAGTCAGAAATCAAGAAAAGGGTAAATTTAGGTATGAAAGATTACATTTTTAAAATTGGGGTTTTGATTATATTTATGATTACCTTGAAGATATCTTTAATAGGGGTAGTAGAGAATTTTGAGGAGACACCTTCATCCCAAGATCGAGCCTTTTGTAGAGAAACATTCGGTGCAGCAACAGTAACATCACTTCCTACTGAAATTGAAGCATAGGATCTCAGGCTTTGAGCCATCATTCTTGTTCTTTTTAAAATTGCTGAGGCCATGGCTAAATCTCCTAAGCTTTTGGTGGTGGAATAGTGATTTTTGCTACCTTCATTTTTAGTGTTTGCTTGGTGAATATATGGACAGGGAAAGAATGGGCCTTATTCGAGAAAGTTAAACTTGGGCCTAAATTTGGTGTCCCAACTTAATTTGGTTTCGAGGAAAGTCAAGCTCCCTTTATTAGGGAGCGTTATACTGGGTGAGCAATTAAAAAAGAAAAAAATAATTTACATAATTTATACAATTATTTATTTATTTATTTGACATGAATCTGAATTTAGTCGGGTTTCAATATGAATACCAAACCTCGAATGAGACTAAAAAGAAAGAAATTTTTTTATATAAATATACTATAATAAAAAAAATATTAATAATTTATAGCAATAACATTTTTTTTTTCACTTGATCACTTTTGATTCATTTATAGTACAAATTTAATACATATTATAGAGAACAATTTATTATTCACATATAATACAAGTTTTAATAATGGATAATATATTTATCACACATTTTAATACACTAATACAATCTGTTAAATTTTTACCAAACAAACATAATATATTTTAAAAAACAATTATAATTCATATATATTGCATACATAATTCACTTTACTTCATATTGCATATTTAACATAATATTGCTACAAATGGTAATAAATAAAAAGTAATGATAAATTTTTACCAAACAAACATAATATATTTTAAAAAACAATTATAATTCATATATATTGCATACATAATTCACTTTACTTCATATTGCATATTTAACATAATATTGCTACAAATGGTAATAAATAAAAAGTAATGATAAAATCAATAATTATTTATTAAAATGTACCAATTTATATAATTTTTCCAAGAAAAAACTCTACACAACACCAATTGAAAAATGGAAGGAAAAAAATATGCTACATAGTTATACAACCATAAATATCATACAAATACGTATAAGAGGTGTTTATACATCTTTCTACACTAGGCAAACATAATTATAGGATGTCGATAATATTATTATTGATTTCCGTACATTTTGATTAAAAAAAACTAACCTAACTTGCTTATCAATCTTCATCAAATAAATTCAAATTTTAACCATAACTTCAAAATGTCTTTCTCATAAATTGTAATAAATAGTAGATTTAAATTCATAATTTAAAAAATATAATAGATTCAATACTAATAAAATCTTAAAAACTAAGATCATAAAATTTAAATCTTAAATTCTTCGTTAGCAATAACATCCACTCGAAACAAATCTCAATTTTGAAAATTTGATTGCTTGAACTCAAGCTTTGAAGCTTCTTTAATAACTTCCAATGGAACTACTCAATTATACTTCGACGTAGCAGTTACCATTAAAAATTTACAAAAAATTCAACCAAGAAAAACAATTGATCAATAAAAGGACGAATTACAGAAATACACACCTTTTGTTTTACTTATTTCCATTATCCTTTATTGTTTTTGAAAATCTTTAAAATTTCTTATTTCTTTAATATATCAGAGTTGCATATTAATGTATCCTATCCAGTATTTAATGTATTTGAGCTACATATTATGTATCCGAGCTAGTTTTTAATATATGCGAGCTACATATGAATGTATCAGAGTCAGTATTTAATGTATGTGAGCTACATGTAGTATATTTGAGATATATATTAATGTATCCGAGATAATATATAATTTATTCGACCTACATATTATTATATTCAAATTTTTTAATTTTTAAAAAATTAATGTAATTAAAAACTTAGTAAGGATAGATTGTGATTTGATGTTAAAACTATAAAATTTTATGTAATTTACTCTTAATATAACATTTTTTTTTCCAAAATGTGAACACTAAGGATAGGGAATATGGGCTCATTTTGTTTAGATATTGGGCCGATTAACATGTCAATGTAAACATTTTTTACGGAGTAACTTTCATGAAGTATATTAGTAAATGTGCTAATCTCAACGCAACGATAATTTTAATAATTATATATCTTGTTTGAATTGCCTTTAGATATACTATATGGTAAAGGTATCTCACCTATTTTGCTATTTGTATTTCACAATTTTAGGTATTTATAAATCCAATATCAAACATGCACAAAGTGTATTTGTATGTATCAATTTTATTTGGTGTGTCCAATATAAAATATCTAGTGTACTCGAGTATCATTTTTATCTATCCAGTATAATAAAAATATATTGATGTATTCAATGTATCTATGTTTAGTAACAGATTACTTATGAGAATATACTAATATATTCAATATATTTGTGATGTATCTATTGTATCTATGCACTTAGTTATGAGAATATACTAATATATTCAATATATTTGTGATGTATCTAGTGTATCTATGCACTTAGTTATGAGAATATACTAATATATTCAATATATTTGTGATGTATCTAGTGTATCTATGCACTTAGTTATGAGAATATACTAATATATTCAATATATTTGTGATGTATCTAGTGTATCTATGCACAAATACATTTACCTAATATCAAACTTGTGATGTATGGAAACTGTGCTTTTCGAGAGTTAATTTGATTAAATTTTAAAGTGAATAGATTACATTAATTCGTTATTTTAAACAAAAAAATTTAGATATTCAAAAACTATATAAAAAGTATTCTGAAATGTACTTTTTTGCATATCAATATGATGAAAAAATACACTATAAAATGTTAACCAAAATACTTCTCATTTGACTTTAAAACAAAACCATTGCAATTGAAAGTGGACGAAGTAATATTTACTATACCTTAATCTATATGGTAAAGGCGGAACGTTTATTTAAACAAAAAGTAACTTTACTACATAATTTCTTCGATTTCAATTAGAATTTAAGAAATCGACTCCAAAAATTTTCAATCGAACACAAGCTTTAACAAATGATCTTATTACTATACATACATTATGATTCATACATAGTTATTAAAGGGGAACAAAAAAATACAACAGAATCAATTACATCTAATTAAACATGAGATGATTACACAATATTATCAACCTTAAAAAAAAACAATCATAAAATTAAATTCCACTAAAGATTAAAGAGAAGCACTTATATACCTTAGGTTGTACCTCTCTAAAAATATACTGCAAAGTGCAAAAAGAAGGATTCCCTTTAATTTGTACAACACAATACACCCCAAAAAATAAATTATTGTAGCTAGGTAATTAACTTATTAATTATTTTTAAGTTAAAATAAAATGTTGATTAATCTTAAACATATCATTTAAGAAGAAAATCTAGTAGGATTTAGTGAATTATAATGAGGTGGGAGTTGATTAATTAGTTGGCTTTGTGTTTGTCCTTTGAATTTGGTGTTTGATGAGAAATTATTATTATGTCTTGGTTGCCTGTTTTTTCTTCTTGGATGTGAAGAAAGTGGGATAAAAACTCCAGTTCCTTTGCTAATTTCTCTTCTATTATTATGATTCTGCTCATATACATATCCTGCTCTTGTAGCTGGATGAATTACTTGGGAAAAGGCCTGTATTTTTAAAAAAACAAAATTGGTAAGCACGACAAAAACGACTTTTAGCGGTAATAAATATGCATAAGTTTTTATCTTTATTAACTAATTGCCATTGAACCTCATGTTGCTATAGTGTTAATTGCCTCCAAAAACATATTTGGTGACATTTAAGCTATTTCCTCAGCTGCTTCAAAAATAATGATCTTTTTCTTTTTTTGGTTACATTTCCACGTGACATGTTTAAGTCCACAAAATTAATGGACAATTTTGTACATTTGATAAACCTTTAATTTAGAACCATCAGATTCAACATTATTTTTTATTTTCTTAAACTCCGTGTTAAATCAAACTAGACAATTCTTTTTGAAACTAAAAAAGTATTAATTATGCGAAATATCATTTTTGGTCTATTAGTTATTAATTTTAGTCTTCTCATGGATTTATGATTTAAATTCTATGGGTTTAATATTTAAGATTCTTAACATTCAACCTAATGCATAATATTATGGGCTCCACTAATATACTATTTGCTCAATTTTAGTAGGTTTTTAAAATTTAAATTTATGTTTCATGTTAAAAGTACCGAGTTTAGATTAATCGTGTCAATCACACTTCATCCACCCATGCCCCTTACTTGTATACATTAAGAAACAACTATTGGTAGAGCTAAACAGATATTTCAGATTAAAATTAAGGTTCAGAAATGGAGTAATAGTCAATAAAAATAAAGTGAGTTTAAATGTCGAAAGAAGTTACAATAATTGATCTTTTACTTAAATCATTTAGTATAATAAATTCTCTTCAATTGTTAATAAACTTTAACATTATATGATATGAAATTAATGAACTAGACAGAACTTAAATATTTTAGGGAGAAAAAAAAACAAGTTGAACATATATATTGAAAGAGAGGGGAAAATATATTAAACCTGAAGAGAGTCACGAGAATGGCGATAAACTGAAGAATTTTGATGTTCATGTTCATCATCGTCCATTATTAAAAGAGATATTTGTTTGCTTAAATCTGCAAAAAATATATCATCTTCTACTTCCATTGCCATATTTTGAAGAAGAGAACTCAAAAATGTTTGCTTTATTTTATTTTTTTTCTTTTCTTTTGAGTAGTTATGAGGATATTATTATTGTGTATTGTGTAGTATAAATAATAAATAGGAAAAAGAACAGCAAATAATGGGTTCAAAGCTAAAAAGGTATACATGTGGGATAGTGGGGTCAAGAATGACAGCCAACCCAAATCTGTGCAAGACCCACCAAAGGATATCAACTAAGAGCAAACTTATTAATACGAGTTTGGTGAAGTGGTAAGTATTTTATTTTAAAATAAAAAGGTTTAGATGTGAATATATTAGTATGTATATTTTTATTAGGGAGTATCTTGTTTTAATGTGAGATTTTTTGAGACACAAGTTTAAATTTAATTTCGACTCTTTTATTAGGGAGCATTTTACTTTCAATGAGAAACTTTTCAAAATGTAAATTTAGATTTAGTTGAGCTTCACGTAAACATAAGATACCAAATAAAAAATTAAAAAAAAAGAGAGCAAGCTTTCAAATGATAATAT